TCCTATAGCCCTTAAGGTTCCTTTGGATGGGAACGGTCAACTTGTGTCGGTCTCGCTACCTAGGACGTCTTTGAAACACTTATGCTGCAGACATTTCGTATTGGATCCAAGGTCTTCAGACCATTCAAACTTGTTAGTGTCTCGGAGGTACGGGCAGATCTATTGCTCGTAGGAGCCCTTGCCAGACTCCAAGCCGAGGCCAAGTTTCAAAAGGGTCCTAACTTCCGACGCTTGGCTGACGAGCTTTTAGACTATTTGTGTTGCTCGCGCTGTGAACCATTTTGCGTATTGGGCCAGCAAGGACTTAGATGGTTTGAACGACTCCACTTCACGAGAACTTTCGAGGACGAGTCCTGACTTTTGCGATGTGTCATGCCACGGTACACAAAGTATGTTAAACTTGAGAGTATATTATGAAGAGAGGAAGGTCCCAGCTACTACAGATAAGGTATCCGTTTTACCCTCTTCTCAAGTCGTGTATCCAAACAATCCATTGTAGCCTCCCACTCGACCCACCCACCAAATCATCAGCGTTGACACTTCACTCATCTTCTAAGCGTCAACGGTTCGAGTTGTTGGCTGGGCAAACCTAGAACCCTCTGGATACTACGGTGCCCAACCATGTTTGTTTAGTGTCCACACTGCAAGAATAAAACCCCTATCGAAGCTCGTTGGACCATAACGAAGACACCAAGTTCGCGCCGCACGATTTCAAGGCGCAACGCCATGTGTACATAGGCGTGTTTGACGGAAATGTAAGAGCCAGACCTAGCTTGTCGTCTCTGTACTGATAGTGCGAGCATAGGCAATATGGTTCATGATCTTTGTGACCGTCTTCGTAAGACATTATTTAGGTGTGATTCAACTCGAACAATCAAGCTCCGTTTACAGTGTAACTGACTAATAATCAGTTGAACGAAACTGCCTAAAGCTTCTTGGTAGTAGTGTATTTTTGGACCGAGGAGCGGGCAAACCTGGCCTGAGAGCAGCGGCCCCCTCAAACGCAAATGAATGTCGCAAGGGCAGAGTGCCCACGGATATTTGACAAGCTATGAGTATTCGATGCGCGGAAGGACACGAGCAGGGGTTCATACGACCTTTCCTGTTCCAAGCTCGTAAGTGTAATTCCATAGTCAATGCTCACTACTCGCACATTTTTGCGGCATGCCAGTTGTCCCATTTGGGGTTGAAACACGTGCTGCACATAATGAGGGCATGCTAGATGGACATACATTGGCAGTAGAACGCGATGGTATAATACCAGCTGGCGGGTACTGTATTAGCGGAGCTTGCGCCGGGGATGAAGGTCAAGCTCGCTAGTTTTTTGTGCTGAGCTCCGGTCTTCTAGGGATACAGTTTCGCAAGCACATGCCGTTTAATCAGGTCGTTCAGCGCTAACAAGTCTGATATGGAAGGATAAAATACTAGACGTAAGGAGTCTAGTGTATTTAGGCAAAGCAGGTTTCTCACTGCAGTATTATCCAGGTCGTAACTGCAGTATGCCCGTGATTTCTTCTGTGATCATTTAGCCACAATCTGCTCCGAATTTAGCGACCCCAACCTAGTTCAAATATCAAGTGTAAAATGTGATATTGACCTGAATTCGCGTCTGACGGCTGTACTCAAAACGACAATCCGCCTTTGCTAGGCAGGACACCAAGGTGGGCCATAATTAACTTGCAGAAGTGTAGGTTGCATTTCAAGTGAAACTACGTGTCTTTTGCTCACAATAAACCGACTGGAAGCCCTACCGCTGGATGTTGTACAGGTGTCCAGAATAAACAATCATATTACACTGCGCACTCCCAACGCGCCGCTAGGATATACAAGCACCTCCCCAAGTCTATATTCAAAGCGCTTACTTGGAGAAATAGCGCACAACTTTTGCCGAAATGTGGAGGAAGAAGATGGAGGCAATGAAAGACAGCGACAGCATCATGACAACGAATGGGTCACTGTACGACGTGGTTAGTATGCCACGTCAAATCAGCCATGAGGGTAGGTGAGATGAATACTCACACGCGGAGGCCAGCCGAATCATCAGTGTATAGTTTGAGCATGGTGTTGCTCGATCCTCCAGCACCTGCAGCTCGTGATGAATTGGGTTTTTGAGTGGCCTGGTTAGTTGCGCGGCGGCTGCAGAACGTTAAGTTGTGTCGGTGAATTAAGCTCGAAAAGAGTTCGTGTGGACGAACTTACCGAACTTGACCAGCGCCAGGCGGCCGTGAGATTGCGGAGCCCGATCCAGGTCGAGGAGGTTGGCCAGACGGAGCACCAACTGGCGAAGAGGGGCGGCTGGAGTCGGACTATCGAATACAACGTCAGCAACTTTTTGGTACATGAGCATTCAATATATTGTTACCATTTTAGAGAAGTTTTGGTGAGAGGGGGAACGAGCGAAGAAAGTGGTGGTGGTGGGACTTAAGTAGCAGTGTGGAAGTGCAGCACAAGCAAGGATGGAGGACGTGGCATAATTGAAGCACAGCCGCCAGCTGAAACAGTCACGTGCATTCAGTCAGAGGTACGCACTCAGCTGCGAAACTTTGCAGTGTTTCAGAAAACAGCTAGACTGAGTAACCAAACGAACTTGTGGCACTGTAGCTTTTTTAGTCCGTTTGGTGTGTCTGTCGATGGCGCTTTATTTCTCATAGGCATCTAGCATTGAAGCACTACACCTATTCATAAGTCCAGAAATAAATTATTATTCTAGTTAAGCTCTTACTGGAGGTTCTGCTGCGTACTAGTCCAGTTGGCTCTATATATCTCCAACGATGCGTGAGTGGCTACAGCGGGAGCAAGTTGATAGATCCAGCTCGCACGGATTACTAAGTGTTCTGCGTGGTGTTTACCCACCAGAAAGTTAGATCACCTATACGCCCAAGTGAGTGAGATGGCTTCACGTTGTTGTAAACGCATGCTATGCAGGCTACCAGACCAACGATGTTCGCTTGTTACTAGGTCGCTCGATCTCATGTAAAGGCGCTTCTAAAACACGGTACAAACAAAAGTGAGAGCTAACCGGCCATGGCTTGCGAGTACCACGAGCCACTGAAGGCTGTGAGACTTCCGTTAGAAGCCTCGATTGTAAGAGTAAGAGTGCACCATTCGATAGGGAGTATATGCGCTCCGGAAGCCATTATCATCTCAGATAAATAGAGACTTGTGACTACGCTTTCGTATATTATACCAACGGATAAGTACTTGCACAGGGTGTAAGTAGCCAAGCCTATGTATGCTTACGGCCTGGGCCCATTATATTTTCAGACAAAACCGCGCCGCCTGAGGGGTCGGCGCTTAGCACTTGATACATTGCAAGTTCATTAAATTCTCCTTGCGCGACCACCGCTCTTCAGCTCCGGATCAAGGCACTCTCTATCTCGTAGAAGCATATACTAACCTTCTTCGACCTTCTGCGTGGTTCCAATAGCTGTGGTTAGCTTACATGTCAAAGTTCTAATATGACTTTACCATTCAAGATTAGTCCCCTCCTACCCCCCTCCCTAGAACTTCGGCGTTCTGGAGTCGGACCAAGAGACATATGTCGCATATATGAGCTGAGATGTCATTTATCCTCGTGTAAAAAGGGTGTATCAAGCTGAACTAATGATAGTACGACTTTTAACAATGTATGCAAGGGCATGTAGTGTAGGGATCATCGCGCTTCATCTGCATGATGAGTCCGAAACCGAACGATAATGGGTCATGCCTGGTGAATTTGAACCACAAGAGCCTGTCTGAAATAGACTTCAGAAAGAACCGAGATGCACACGGCTACCACTCACGGATGGTCTACTAAAGGCTCTCGCAATAGAACACTTGCTAGACTCTTGGGGTGTATGAGAAGGTGTAACGTGGTTTCTAAGAGTCTCATACCAACCGAATCATTAGTAGGTACGGTCTAATTATGCAGAGTATGGCTATACATGTACAAAGCTTTTGTAGTGCTCCAAGACAAGACTACAATAAGCGGCGCCGTGTCCTCTGTGCACTACTCAAGGCTTCGCTGACGATGCTTCATTGTTCATAAGTACTTTTAAGTTACTTTTCTCCACTGAAGTCGACCATCAAACCGCCGCTCTATTTGGCCGCTTGCCACAAGTTTTAGAGGTGACTTGTCAACCGATTATGTGCCATAGTGACGACAGTAGGAGGCTTAGCGAATTCCGCCTGAGCAAATTACTACATACCCCATCTAGTATTTACCCATCAAAAACCCAGCTTGTTCGGGTACCCAGAGTGAGCACACCGAGCTCAGTCTCCTATA